AAAAAAAACAACTAAGTAGAAACTATATCATCAGTATCTAATTATCTAATTTTGCTCTCTGTCATCACAGAAACATCAGCTCCTACAAAATCACAAAGAACCAAGTGTCCATCAATGGTGTAGCTGAGACACATACCTCATAGGTTAACAGATTGCAAGAAGAGAAGATCTATGGTGGCAGTTTTAGTCCTCTTGGGCACACATGACCCCTATAGAGAGTAATTCACACTCCCAAGGGCACACTGAGACCAGTGGTTGTGGTACAAGTAAAACAGATTCCAGGCTCCTAATTCCCAAGGAATTGGCGAAAATACCACCATTTCTTTTATACTCAACAAAACCAACCGGGATGTAAATGGGTCCTATCAGTGCCATTACAGGAAACCTTGACTCTAATTTATACACTCTATATGGTAGTCTCTAACCTCAGTAATTTACCATTAGTACAAATTCTGATCCAGCAGTGTGTGGGATACCACTGCCCAGAGACTGTGAGAACCGTGTGCAGCTCCCTAAATATACCACTTTCACATGTGTTTGCTTCCTGGAACCCATAATCTGCACAACCCACCCTTTGACCAGCCAGCACACCTGGAGGAGCTCTCCTACTCAGCCGTCAAATGTCACAGCCACTGTGAAGTTTATTCCCACAGAGAGGGAATTCACTGTTTCCTATTCTGTGCTCCTAGAGTAATTTGTGCATGTTGCAATTATTGCTCATATTATAATGAGTTATTTATGTAGACCATGAGCTCCTGAGGACAAGAGGAATGTGTCTTAATCATCTTTGTGGGTCCTACCTGCCTGGCATGGCAATCTCCCACCTACGAGGGAGGGAAAGAGGACTGGTCTGTCTTAGCACTCCTCTGATCCAACCCCCTCATTTTACAGATGAAGAAACTGAGTCCCAGACAATGCAGAGATTTTTCTCAAGATCACACATGGAGTTAAAGGCTGAGCCAGGACTACATGAGATTCATTTAACCTTAATGAAGCACAAAAGCTCATCACTATTATTAGCACAGTACAAATTAGAGATTTATCATTCCCCTCTAATGAATACAGACAAAAATCTCCAACCCTGAAAACATCAGTGAAATAAGATTAGTCTTTGAAATACGGATTCTGTCTCGACATTCGTCCAGAATCCTCAACCTTCTCTGTGTGGTTTTGACAAGGAGCACTTCCTTCGAAATTCAGTACTGATTAGAATCACTGAAAAGTATCAGTGGACAGGTAGGATGGAAATTCAGGCATGGATTTAGTGCCCTTATGCCCTCCAATTCCATTGTATATTTCACGCTTTAGCAGACAAATTTGCACAGTGTAACTATTTGTATCCTCTATTCAAAAAAATTCATAGAAGCTATTTTAGATTTTTTCCAAAAACTTTTTTCAGTTTCATTTACATTTTGCACCTTTTTATTCAAATGTAAATTTTAATAAACACTAGTATAAGTATTGCAACAGTTTTGCACATGAATTATCTTGTAATTTAACATTCAGAATTGATGTATTTTGTGGTCTGGGGTACAAATCATTCCATTCTTCTTATTATTTATCTTTCTGCTCTAATAATGGTTTTGGTACCCTCTTTAAAATTTCACTTTTCCAGAATGAAACAGCAATCCTGGCTCAGGCACAAATGATTCATGGACAGAAGAACGGGAAATAAAGAGAAGGTGGTTTCTGTGCTGTTGGCTACATTTTAACTTCCTCTCCCAAACTGTGGTTGTCAGAGGATATTAGCCATTGAAATATTCTTACCATTTTGCTACCCTAGTGTTCCTGTCCGCCATCCCCATCTCCTAAACTATAGGGAGTAGTCAGCTACAAAAATCAAAAGGCCTCCAATTTGACTGTGATATTCTCCTTTCAGTCTAACCAACCACAAAGTCAGGAGTCAATCCATTACACCTGCTGAGCTCACGTTTCCTTGTTGAATACCCAGGCATATTCTAATACCCCTGTCATGGTGCTGAGAAGGTAAAGACACACGATTTATACAAATGCTTTCCCATTCCATCCCTTGCTGTGGGGAATTACTCTCAGAATAAGACTCGGGGCCATCTTTTCTGCTCTCGCAGGAATTAGAAATCACACCAGTATGGAGTGGGGAATTGCCAGTGACCACCTTAGCCACAATCAGGTTGAGCCCAAAGGACACCACGGATACTTGTACAGAGGAAATAAACTCCTTCAGACAAAGCTCTGCTCATACTCACTTCCCAAGGGAGAAAACCCCAACCCCAATCATTCACGTGGACAAAGGAAAGCCTGTTCTCCTGCCCGCCCCTTGCCCCCGCCACACCAGCCCCTGGAGACATTCTGGTCCTATAGATAGATGAAAGGGCGTGTATAAGTTGGTGATTCAGATGTGGGAAGAAGAAAATAAGAAAGAAGGAACTCAATTGCCTTTCTTAGCCCTGCTGTCCAATTTCTTCAGTTAGGAATGAGCATCAAGGATACTTGCCCCCCTTCTCCCACAGCTACTAAGAGATTCCCACCCTAGAGATCTTTAATGCACTGAGTTCTCCAGAGACAAGGGCCATAAAAAGACTCATTTATTATTATTAATAAGTTATGGCAATTAGGCTGGGTGATTCCTAAACGTTGCTGATTAAACTTTCTTGAGTGCTACTCATCCACATGACTAGTGTTTACCTCTATTAAAAATGACTTAACTACACTCTGGGTGAAACCCTTTCTTGTGCC